CTGGTGGCCAACAATCTCGCTCAGTTATTAGTTCACCTACTTTGTCATGTCCGCTTGTTGACCTATCTAGCAATAAACGCTTCTTTTCATCAGGTGACTCCCGGTTATCGGCAGTTAGTAGCCAGATGTCCTGTCTGCTGACTCCACTCTCCGCTGTGCCTGGCACCCTCATCGATGTATATTTAGGAAATCTGGATTTCTTCTTCATTCGTGAAACCACGGATGTACGCGAGGTAAATTGTGAATCTACTCTTGTAGTGATTATGCAAATTAATTTACTAATAGCTATTATTTCACGAGAGATTTACAGACCTACTTCTTCTATTGCCTTCAAATGTCAAGTAGCAATCATTCAGATTGCTACTAACTGGTAATAGCTCCGTGATTAGGATAGCGCTACTTTATGCTACTTCCTACAAGGATATAGTCGATACTTCTAGAAATATACTCAGTAAATGGTTCATTGCTAAGGAAAGAGACCATTACAATTGAAGGGGAATTAGTACCTATTGCGTTCTTCGGAGTTTCACTGAAAGCTCAATTAATTTGCATGGTCGATTAAACTCTTTGCAGTTCATAAATACTGTGCTTAACCAAATACCAAGCTGTATTTTTCTTCATATATATAAATGAAGCGTTTTATTATGAATTTAGAAAGGTTTTTATGATTTACATCATACTCCTTGCTCATACTTTTCTAATTTATCCTATCCTTATCTCTCCACCTTAGCATTTTAATATAACCATTTCACATTTTTTCTTTGCACTACTCATTCTTACTATTTCCATTTAAATTTGACCTGGGCTCACTAGCTTTTTCCGTTTTTTCTGTGAAAAACTAGTTTGGTGGCATTGGTGGCTTCATCCATGCCAGTTTGACTGAAGCTCAGGCTGTTGTCGGGGCCCACACCACAAGCCTAGGTGGTAACGCACTACTCTCATATAGACTCAGCGAATTGGATGTTATTCATCAGACATCCAGAAACCAGGCGCAATGCCTACTTAATGTATGCGGAGATATGGCTTATTTGGTCAGTCTTGACGGTTTGGCCTAAACCGGCTTTTGTCTTCACAGCCAAAAATAACACTGAAAATGCGTACTATTTGCAAGTAGTGTGTAATAATAGTTATTTATTTTCCTTCCCATTTTTCATAACCTATTTATAACTGTCTCATTTAGTCAATTATCAATTTCATTATACTCTGTATATCTCCTAGTATCTTTGTCTATTTGTGGCTGATAAGCTAAGCCCATGTGAATGTACTTAATTACAATTATCCCTGAATCCTGATTTGTATATTAAAATTTGTGGACTCCTTTTATTTATCTGTATTCATTTGTACACAGTTTTATATAATGTTTTGCAGACTTTTTTAACAGGCTAGGAATTCCATTTTTAAGTAGTTCATTTTAAATTTTGTACTTTATTTTCAAACCTTGTTCATTCACCCCCAAAATAGATAATCTACTCCCTGCTAGTAGACGACCTCTCAACCATTTATCTTATCTATCTCTTAGTTTGTTTCATTACATTTTTTGCAGTTTTTTGCAGTTCGCTATGTTTTTCCTTTCTTTAATATGCATTGCTTTCTAGATACTTACTTATTACTCATGCTAGTCCTAGTTTCCTACCATTCACCTAACTGTTTTCTCTGTTAGATCTTAATACCTCCATTTACTTGCATATTTTCTTCCCATTTTGCCATTTCAATCCTTCTTACTTCGGCAGGAGTCTATATATTTGTTTCACGCCCAGCCTCAGATGTTACTATAATTCAGCACTTATTTGCTGGTAATTCTCTATTTTAATTTTTTATTGGCTATTTAACACGTTCATCGACTCAGCTCAACTTCTTACTGATGTCGTGCTGCGAGATTATAATAACTTATTTATAGTGTAATCCATGCCGTTATACTATTGAATAAACTACTGAATACATACATATTCGCATTGTTATAATTGCTAAGGATCATATATTAATCATTATGCGGGTCTATTAGCCCAAAGTCTCGCTGGACTACAAAACTTGTTTTTCGTATGTAAGTAGAGTTTCGAAGCTACCAGTAAATCAGTAATGTGGGATGTATTACCATAGGGCATATGTGAATCACACTCCTCACATAGAGCACGAAAAGTGACTAACATACTGATCCATTACTTAAGTGAGTTGGATCCACATCTGAAGAGAATAAAACGGTATTGAGAGAATGTGATTTTTGTTTTAAAGAATAGAATATAAAGATTGGATTTGGCTTGATTCGGGTAACTTGATTTAGTTGTTAAGCCTATAACGAGAAGTTCCAGCCCACCTTACATAAGACATATTCCTGTCAGACAACAAGCCTTGAAGGATAGTTACTGCAAGTCTAA